TGATTATATGAATATAATTTATTTAGAAAATCAACATAGTCTCTGGCACCTAGTACACTGACATTGACTTTAAGTATTTTTCCCCTTCATTTAGTCAGTATTAAATAGAAGCAGTTTGCTTTTACATGGTAGAGATAACAACATATTCTTACCAGTTGAACACAGCCAACTATGCTCTTCTCCCTTATGAAGTTGAAAGAGACCCTGGTCATCTGATCCAGTAATAACATAATTGACCAATTATATATGTGCGCTGTTATCATTAGTTATGGTCTTAAGATGAGAGTAGGCACTTAGGAGAGGAACTATTACAAATAACTTATTGGAATGACATCTTGTCATAACTAACCAAGTTGATACTAATTTTATAAAACATGGCTACCATATTGTTTACCCCAAGAGGGGCTGAGACAATTTGACTATTTTCCTACATTTTGTTTGGGTTTAAATTGTTTGTATTGTCTTCTACTATGGTTTTTTGCAAGATTTTTAAAGGTTTTGTCCACCCTTTGAGGATGCTTAGAATAAACTGGCAGATCAACTTGATTAGGGACACAAAAATTGCCATCAGTTTGTCTGCCTGAAGCAAACAAATGAGAGCAGTAGCAATCCTTCCACCATATATGGCTGTGGGGAGGGTGCCAGCATCAAAGACTAGTAATGGCTAACTTATTTATGCTTAACAAAAAAGAAATGGAATTAAACACTGGTGACTCATGCATGTAATCCTAGCTACTCAGGTGGCTGAAATCTGAGGATCTCAGTTTGAAGCCAGTCCAGGCAGAAAAGTCCATAAGATTCTTATCTCCAAGTAACCACCAAAAAGCCAGAAGTGTAGGGGTGACTCAAGGAGGGGAAAGGGAGGGGGGAGAAGGGAAGTAAAGAGACTGGGTTGCTGGGCGCTGGTGGCTCACGCCTGTAATCCTAGCTACTCAGGAGGCTGAGATCTGAGGATCGAGGTTCAAAGCCAGCCCGGGTAGGAAAGTCTGTGAAACTCTTATCTCCAATAAACCACCAGAAAACAGGAAGTTGCACTGTAGCTCAGAGTTCAAGACCCATGACCAACAAAGAGAGAGAGAGAGAGAGAGAGAGAGAGAGACTTGGGTCTCTGCTTCCTCTAGATAATTGGCTCTTGATTTCCCCTGATTGTTTCCCTAGATGGTTTGTTTTTCTATTAGGTTTAAGTGTCCTCATCTGGTTTGCTTTGCTCATGTATAACACTTTTATTGTGTTTGATTACACATACCTTGTGTGGTTTTGGCCTATGTAAGCTTTGTGCTAGCTGCATTTGGAGCTGCTGGTCTGTGGGACATGAGTCTACCAATAGTCCTCCAGCTCTCCAATAAAGACAAAAAGACCTTTTAAATGGTGGCTTCTCTGTTTCTCAAGACTGAGTTTCCTTACAACCAAAAGAAGGAAGGAAGGAAGGAAGGAAGGAAGGAAGG